TTGTTTCTGTATTTCTTCTTTTAGCCTCTTCAAAGTCTCTAATAAATCTTCTTCTATTTCTCATTTGTTCTGCTTGTGCTTCTACAATCTTTTCTGCAGTAATTTTAAGTCTATAATATTCTATACTTTTCTTTCTTAATTCTTCCTTCTTCTTATTAAGTGCTTCAACAAGAGCTTTTTCTTTAGCAACTTCTTCCATTTTAGCTTTTAATTCAAGTTTCTCGGAGTTTTGTGTTTCATTAATTTTCTTTAATGACTCAATAATGGAAGCATTAACTTTAGCACTTTGTTGTTCAATAGTTTTAATACTAATATTAATCTTCTCAATTTGTTCATTAACTTCTTGAGTTTTATTGACGGCTTGTGGTTGTTGTTTATTGATTTGGTTTAATCTAGTTTGAATAGCTTCAGTTCTATTTTCAGGTGGAATTTTAATATCTTCACTTAACAAGGCTTTTGTATAAGCTTCAAACTCAAGAAAACTAGTTCCATATGGTTGATGTGGATTAAGTTCACTAACAACATTAGCAACTGTAGTTGGTGTACATCTAGGAGCTGCAAGAGCACTGACAACAATTAATAAAATATGTATGACTTGCATATGATAGTATGATTTTTAAGATCATCTCATATATCTTTTTCTTTTCACCAAATTTACATTTTCTTGGTGATTGAAATAATTCACTTTTTCATATTCTTTCGTAGAAGTATAGTTTTTTTTAATTCCTTTTATTATGTATAAGTCTCTTTCTTATTTCTTAACCTTTGTTTTTTTTTTAACTAAATTCATTTTGCTATCAACTCGTTGATTTTAAACAGAATAACTACCCGAAAATTTATGTCTGAATTGGCTTATTTTTATAATAAACATATTGTAAGAAGTGAAGAAAAATTCAATAACACAATACTAAATTTTGTTATTTAAAAATCAAAACACAAACCTAAAAAAAAAATAATGATAAAAACAAAAAAGAAATAAAGAAAAAAAGATCTTAACAACTAAAAAAGTTTATATTATTTACATGAAGTTGTTGTATTTTGTATTATTAGTTGTCTTTGTTTCTGCAACTCCCAAAACCAACTCAACAGAAAAAAAACAATCTTCAATTGACAAGTTGATTAATGATGCTACAAATACTTCAAAACCTATTCCTGTTGTTGAAGCCGATCCATTAAACACAAATGAAACACAAAAATTAATCAAAGAACTTGCTGATGCAGAAGTTACAAGAAATACCTTAAAAGAACAAACAAAAAAAGCTCAAAAAGCATTATTAAAACAAACTGAAGAACTTGCTAAGGAACATAAAATTCGAATGAAAAAAATTAAAGAACAATCACAAGATTTTGAGAAAAGAGAACATTTAAGAGAACAAGTTGAAGAGGCAAAATTAGCATTATTACATGCTAATGGAAGCTTTGTAGAAACTAAAAATGATGTTGCTGCATTAAAGAATTATACAGAAGAAGAAATGAAACAAATTGAATATCAAAGAAAGGTTCAATTACGTGATAAGATTGATGCAGAAAGACGAAGAGTTCAAATAGAAAAATTAAAGAAAGCACTTAATAAAAAACAACAAGAAATGGAAAAGAAAATAAAAACACAACATGAAAAAGAAGATAAAGCTTTTAAAATTGCTCATCAACGATTATTAGAAAAGTTTGATAAAGAAAGAAAGATAAGAAAAGATGCATTAATGAAAAAAGAAATGGAATTAAGAAAGATGAGAGCATTAGAATTTGAAAAATTTAGAACAGAAGTTGAAATGGAAAGAAAGATGAAACGATTAACTATTGAAGAAACTCAAAAACAATTATTAAATCTTAGAAAAGCAGAAGAAATTAAAAGAGAAATTGTAAGAGAAGGAATTAGATATAAAAAATTATTAGAACAACAAAAAATGAAAAAAGCAGAAGAAAAAGCTAAAATGATTGAAGATCTTAAGGATAAAGCTGTTAATTTAATGCTTCAAAAAGAAGATTTAAATAGAAAGAGAAAGATTGAAGCTACCGAATTAATGAATGAAGTAGCAAATGCTAAAAAAGAGATAGAAACAAATATCAAAATCACAAAAAAAGGAATTCAATCACGAAGAGAAAGAAAAGCAGCAATAAGAACAGCTACAATTCGATCAGAAAGAACAAAAATGAGATATTTAAAAATTAAAGCATTAAAAGACATTTTAAGTAAAAAACTTGCAGCAGAAGAAAGAATTTATAAAAAGAAATTAGAAGAACAAAAGAAGATTAAAGCATTAGAATGTAAAGCAAGAGGACTTGTTAAGAGATTAAGTAATATTGCAAAAGAATATAATAAAAGAAGTATTGAAGTTATCAAAAAAGTTAAAGCAGAAAAGAAAGCATTATTAATTAGAAAAATGTTACTTGAAAAAGCTGATGAAATTAATGAAAAACGAAGTTTAATTAATCAATTTAAATTAAAGATACGACAATTAGAAGAGCAAGAATTAAAACATCAAATGCAATTAAGTGGAGTTGAAAAAGATATTTTAAATCAAAGAACATTAGCTAAAATTATTAGAATGAAAACTATGAGAGAAAGAATGAGAAGAAAGAGAATTCTTGCATTAAAAAAGAATTTAAGAAAAATGTATTTGGAAAGAAGAGATATGTTATGGAAGAAACGATGTATTAGATTTAGAAAAACAGCTAATATGAAACAAAATGAAGAGTTAAGAAAAAGAAAAATAGCACGTATTATTTGTGGAAAGAAGTATTGGAAGAAACAAGCTCCAAAAAAATGTTATGATTTTATTGGAGGAAAATATCACGATTTAATCCATAAACCAGGTAAAAATATATTCAGATGTCCATTTGAAAAATATCATGGAATTACTAAATGTGATAGTATTGAATTGCCTTAAACTTAAAACAAATGAATTTATTTTTTACTTCTTCTTTCATTTTTAAATCTTTTTTTTAAATAACAAAATTATTATAAATTTTGTTAATTTTAAATATTTTAAAATAATACTTTAAATTGACTTATTGATTTTTTTACTTCGGTTATTATTATTATTAGTCATTAATAGGTTTGATTTATTGGTTATCTTATTGATAAATATTATCTCCTATGATTTAAAGGCATTTATTGTATTTTTAGTATATTTAAATTTGTATCAATTTATATTCACAATTTCGTTCATATCCGAGTGTTATGAAATGTTCATATTCTTCATTGATTCGTTTTTATTCTTTTTTAGTTCATTTTCAATTAATTCATATTGAATCATTTCATTTCAATTATTATGATTCGTTTTGGTATGAAATGATTTGGATATTCTTTTCCACAAAGTGCATTTGATATTCCTTTATATGAAAATGAATCTTGTTGACAATATGATAGTGTTTTATTATTTTCTTTATAAACACAAATATCACCAAATCCAAATTCAAACAAATACTCATCTGTTTGATTATGTAAATAAAATGCACATTGTTGTTCTTTAATATCAAATTTCTTCATTCTTTTCATTCTTCCATTTGATTCTAATGAAAATAAAAATGATTTTGAATCATATATCCAACCATCATCTTCATCAATTTTCTCATTAACATATCCTCCAAATTTATTTCCTTCTTCATCTTCAATAATAATTATTATATGTTTTTTATTTTTTATTCTTTCTCCAAATACTGATGTAATAACTTTCCAATCATCTTTATCTGAATCAAATAGTATATTTCCTACTTTTCTTTCTGTCCATTCTTCTATTTGTTTGATTTCTTCCATTCCTTTCATTCTTTGTAACCTCTCTTCTCTTCTTTTCTCGTGGTTTAACACTTCCTAAATAATATTGATAATTCTTAGTAGTATCATCAATTGATTGTTGAATGTGTGGAAGTGTTTCTACTACTTCTTTAATTATTTGGTTGTTCTTGTTTATTAACTCTTCCATTTTAATTTAATTTGATGTTTATAAGTTCAAATAAAAATAACTATAAACATAATTATAACATCTAATCAAAATGGTTATTGATTAATTGATGTATATGCTTATTAATCAAAGTTTTACAAAATAAAGTACTAATGTTTCAAACTTATTGGAAGAACTTTTATTTTTATTTTTAGAATTGTAAACATAAATAAAAATAGAATAGTTATTTTTAAATCGCCAAGAAATTTTCACTTCATTATTTCAGATGAACAGAAAGAAGTTATACGACAAATACATTAAAATTAAAGCACATAGAACATTCTATATAATAGAAAACAGAGATTGTTCTACTGGCTTAAATACACTCTGAACAGTTGAAATTTCGTTTAGAATTTTGTTTGTAGTATGAGGATTTGTTTCTTTTTCAATACAATTGAGCTTTTTCAGTCTTCCAAAGAAATGATTCTTTACATCATTTGGTGATCTTCCTTCTAAACAACTTGCAATAGTTGTCCATTTATTTCCTATTTCTTTTCTTTTTTGAAGAATAAGACAATCCTCTTCTTGACTCCAAGGTCGATGATAGATGGATTCGTTGTTATTGAGATATCGCTCTCTACATTGTTTCTTTGTTCTGGTTGGAACCATAGAAGCAACTTCTTCCCAATTATTAGTTCCATATCGTTTGATTCCTTCCATTAACTGCATTTCTTCTCTTGTTGTCCAGATTCTGACAATCTTCTTTTTAATAATGTCTGAATCAGAAGAATTGTTTGTAGATGATGTATGTATGCACGAACTCA